CATGCTATTTTCTTAGTTATTTATAGCTATATTGGCAACCTAATACAAATGATCCCATTTGAGCTCAAAAAATCTGTTGCTAAGTAAGACAGTTAAATGAGTTTTGCCCCATTTTATAACTTCGGCACAGTTGTGCAGTGAATCACTGGTTATTAACAGTTGTTAAGTGAATCTGCATTATCCATTGATATTGCTTGTTACAGGGTTGCAAAAGATGATCACATGACCCTTGTACACTGCATAAACATGAATCAGTTGCCGAGCATCTGAATTTTGATCACGTGACCATGGGGATTCTGCAGTGGTCATAAGTGTGAAAAACAGTCGTAAGTCACTTTTTTCACTGCCATTGTAACTTAATAAACAGTCACCAAATGAACTGTTGTAAGTTGAGGAGTACTGTAGAGTAATTTCAGTGCATGGATTTTCGAGGTTCAATGGATTTTGTAGATTCAATATCAGAGACTATTTAACCAACCTCTGGCGTAACTTGACATGTCTTTGGTATAAAAGCATAAATATGACACCGACAGCAAGTAATCTACCATAGGCAGATAATCCTCTGGTTATGATGTGAATTGGGACCAGAATTTCCATCACCAAGCAGTGCATTTATGAAGCACGTCACATGACTGCATTACTTCGCAATAAAAATCTCAGTAGTCCTAAGCATCCCATGTGATTGCTATGTGGGAAGAGATGGGAGTCCCAAGCAAATGGCTGTAGGTGAGAGATGGCTAGTATGGATAGGTTTTGGGCAAGAAGGCAGAAAAGCAGTGGGAGTAACTTGCAACTCCTGCTGGATTCCCATTGGCTTTGCCTGTGGAAAGTCAGCAGAGAAGGTCAGAAATAACAATCCCATAACTGTGGGATGCTGCAACCATTGTAATTATAAACTGATTTCCAAGCCCCTGAATTGCAATCATATGACATCGGAGATGCTGTGGTAGCTGCAGTTTCTCAAACCAATTGTAAGTCCCACTTGTTCAACATTATATGGTTATTGAACGACTGATCTAGTGCAGCCTCAATTGTACGAACTGTATTATTGAGGCTGCATTAGACAGGCAGTTGCTTTGGGGGAAATTAGAAACAATTCAGGCCTTCTGCAGGAGTACTGATTTGTTTGCATCACACTCATTGGCAGTGATTCACAGTCCGCCATAACTTCAGATGGTCATTAAATAACAAGCTGTATTGTTGAGGATTGCCTGTAGTAAAAGACTTCAAAAGGAAATTAAAGAATTTACTGATGATAAATATTTATTATACCGTCCTTTGATTTACACTTATATTCTGGAAAAAAAGTTCACTTGATTGTGCTTCTCTTAAATTTAAGTGAAGCATTAACTTTGCATTTCCTATTGCTACCTCTTATCATAATGCTACCTTTTATCATAATCTTATCAAACACTTGGCTTTAGTTAATTGGCACATATGGAATCACACTTTCAAACTCTAAAGGGTGAGGGAGGTATGGTTAAACCTTCAAGTGTAGCATTCCAGGGTTTTGTTCAGCCTTTTGAGAAAAGCTGAGAGAAGAACAGAGCTGGGATTCAAGTCAATTCTTGGCATTACTTGTGAAGAGTCATGGAATGAATAGATAAGATTTTGTGGAATTATGCACCTTAGGATAATCCACTGCCAGGAAAGAAGTGCCAGGGAGTGAACTTTTCTCTGATTCTGTTTTATGCCTAAGTGTTATAAACAGATAGCAACAAAAAGTTAACAATTACACAATGTAAATTTGCTGCACAATTATTTTTGTTTGAATCTGCCATTTAAAACACTTAAAGAAACACTACCGAAAATTGTTTAGGTGACACTCTAGGAGTAACTGTCCCTAGTCAGTGAGAGTCAGACCTCAAGTATTTTTCTTATGGTTTGTTACTCTGTCAGCCAAATTTTTAGACTGGATTTGGCATTTTTATCCATCTTATCAGTTATCACCTGTATTTTCTCTAAAAAAGTGTCTTATTTTCTTTTGGGCCCAGTACTAGGGTTTATTTTCATGGGGTGTCTTATTTTTTCCCCATGTATGGGAGACCAAATTCTGCTTGCCCATGGCTGCAACGAAGCAGGAGCCAAGCAATATGCTGGTGATGCAGTGGCGAGTGGAGTAGACTTGCCCCACGTGCCCTGCACCAACTCACCTCAGGGACCCTGCACCCAGGCCATCCACACCTCGACACCTGCCTTGCCTCACAGCCTGGGCACCAACACACCACTTAACCCTTGCTCTATTGCGGTTGCGAGCAAGGAGAGGTGGGCTGGCGGCCATTTAGGTTCCTGCTACACATTGGTGCTGGTGCTGCTTCGAGGCAAGGGAGTTGTTGGGATGTGGATGGCCTGGCTGCAGGATCCTGAGGTAAGCCGATGTGGGGCGGTTCAACATCCCTCTACCTTGCCTGGTGGTGATGGCACCTTGAGCAACCAGATGGAATGGGTGGGTGGTTGGCTGTGAAGGCTCATAAATAGGAGTAGGGCTTATATTAGGTGCATGTGTAAAAACATGCTAGGTCTTATTTTCAACTTAGATCTTACTTTTGGGGAAACAGTATTAACAAGAGTTCTTGTGATGCTGCAAGTTTCTGCATTTTATCTAGAACTTTAATTATTGAAAATTGCTAGATTTTTTAAAATAAGCCATAGTTTAATGCAATCTGGACTACATCATGCAAAAGCCAAAATCAAAGAAACCACATGCTTGTTTAGCATGCAAGTTACATTTATCCACTCATACTTTAAAACTTGTTTATTTTAAAGTGTCATTGTAATATTAATGACAATTTATTCAGATTACAAAGAGAAACCAGGCTTAAACAGAAGCAAAATTATCCTAACTCTTCTTAGCCTAGATGAGAAAGGGTAAAATATGTAATGGCCAAAATTTGTTATAATTCCTTCACATTGAATTAAACTATGATTTAACATGAATGTAATTAATAATAATAATATTAATATATTAATATTAATAATTATTAATTACATTAATAAATGTAATTATGCTTTTCCTTAAAACCTTTGATTAAGAGCTGTTTAGTCTGCCACCAGATCACGTATTTCTCTTTCTCTGAATAGAATTCATTCAGCCTTCTTTCTCTGCCAATATCTTGTCTCTGGCATCTAATTTTCAGTCTAGCAATGAATAGGATTTTTGCTGCATCATTTTTATTAATCACTGTTAATTACTATAAATATACTGTATATGTATAACATGTTTAATTCCTACACATAGCTGACGGTTGTAAATTCAACTGCCAAGCACGTCTGACATGTAGCAGCATATTTTCCAGTCAGGTGGAAATTGCACAATTGACTTTGAAGCAACTTTGTATGTATATCAGGCTGATTAAACATAGGCCTTTATTTTTCTTTTATATTTGAAAAGAATAGGAATTTTTCCAACAATTAAGCTATAAGATAGTAAAAAATATGTCTGGTATAAAATATATGTAGTCATTTAATTTAAATTTAAATTGATTAGTTCAAAAACTAATCTTGATAGGTATTCTAGCAGTTTGCATAGTTTGTGCACAGTTTGCACAATGTCTGATATTCTAATTTATCTAGTGCTTAGAGACCGTGTGCTCTATTGCTGCAAATTCCAGAACTCAAAAGCCAAGTTATGGATACATGTCACATTAGTGTGCTGCCTCTGGAATTGTTTTCTTTTTACTGAATTAGCAGAATTTGGTCGTGGCTATCTTGTGTCACTGTTTTGTCCATGAGAATAAATGGCTGATCAGAATGACTGATTAAAGCTCAGCAGAGACAATAATCAGCATCTTCACCTGAAGAATGAAATGTAATTGGTTACAGAAATTCAAAATGGTTTCTTCTAAGTAATGCAGAAACCTCATGATTAATAGAGAAAGCGAGAAATATTCCTAACAGATCATTAATGTATTCAAATTAAACGAATTATGAATTACTATGTTACTCCACTGTTCGGAAGGAAACTTTTTATCATATGATTTGATATGAAAGACCTGAGCATTAAGTAAATAAAATTAGAGATGCTACTTATGTGACATTCCAAAATCCAGATTACCTTTTTAGGAAGAGTTCTTAAGTGGGTGGATTTTATTTCAGCTAAATGTTGCGGAGAATGAAATGGACAGTTCTTACATTGTGCAGCTGCTGCACTATTTTTACCTGTTTATTGTAACTATAACAATAGTTATGAATTTCTGTAACCAATTACATTCTGATAATTCAGTAAAAAGAAAACAATTCCAGAGGCAGCACACTAATGTGACAGCTTAAATACTCAGAGTCATTTGGACCCATTTCCCACATAAAACAAAACACCAGGATCTCTCTCTCTCTTTTTCCCTCCCCTTCCCTTTCTCCCTTTTTCCTCTCTCTTTCCCTCCCTCTCTTTTTCTCCCTCCCTCTTTTTCTTCTTCCCCTTCCCCTCTCTCCCTTTCTCCCTCTTTCTCTTTCCCTCCCCCTCTTTTTCCCTTTCTCCCTCTCCCTCCCTTTCTCCCTCTTTCTCTCTTCCCCCCTCTTTCTGCATTTCTCCCTCTTTCTCTCTTTCCCTCCCTCTCTCCATTTTTCCTTCTTTTTCTTTCTCAACTGACATTGAGACAGGTTAAGTTCAGTTATCCTATTCTTGGCATTTTAAAGATACACAGTATTTCAATTTATTTTCTGAACTTTGACTACACTGTTCAAAGTTATTAAAGTAATTTATTTTTACAACCAGTTGAGATTAATTGAAATGCAGTTTAGAGTTGGGACAACACTAAATATTCTTAACTGCTTAAAAAGAGGAAGGAAATGAAATTCATAAGCCCAGGAAGAATTAGTCTTATTCATTCTTATAATGACTTTATATCCCAGTCTTGTCTAAAACTTGGTGATTCATATGGTCTTAACAGTATGATTTTAACAGAATATGGTCTTAACAGTATTAGAGATAAAATTCAACTATGTTTCCCTAAATATTTATTGTCATATTTTCTAAAAGAAATGCTGTCTTGTTTTCTTTATAGATCTTTAAATACCCATTGAATTACATCAGACAAAATGCCGCCACCAATTGGAGGCCCAGTTGGATACACGCCACCTGAAGGAGGATGGGGTTGGGCTGTGGTTGTTGGTGCCTTTATTTCTATTGGGTTTTCGTATGCATTTCCCAAATCCATTACAGTATTCTTTAAGGAGATAGAAATAATCTTTGAAGCATCAAGCAGCAAAGTTTCCTGGATCTCTTCTATTATGTTGGCAGTTATGTATGCAGGGGGTAAGTTTGCAAACCAATTGAATTTCATTCTTACTCTGCAGTTTTGATAATAATGTTGTGCTTTAATTGGAGAAAAGTGTTATTAATAGATCTGTAGGTAACAGCTATATTAGCTACTGGTTGGGAGAGCTGCCTAAAGTCAGCTTAATACCGAATTTGCGATCGATGGGCTCCTGAAGACCCGCCATGGCCATTTAAAAGAAGGAAAAAGTTACCAGAACCTGACAAACAGCTGATCGGCATGTTTTAATAGCAGAGGCCACAAGAGTTTAAAACTTGATCAGCGAATGCAAGCCTTTGAATGCTTGGCCATCTGATCTTAGCCGATCACCCTGGTCAAGCTAGTTTGGCAGGCAGGACGAATTAAATCCGGTGACTGTGTGGGAAGAGAACCGAAGCTAGTTCTCCAGCTTAGTCCGGCACAGCAGCCGATTTCAGCCTCATATTGGAGGCAGAGCTTCCAGGGGTCTGCTCAGATAGTGGGGAGGAGCAGAGTCCTATAGTATCCAAAGTGGGGAAAAATAACCCAACCTATTTAATTTGCAGAAATATAAATGATACCTTTCCAAGAAATTATTATTTGAATCATTCTTAATTTGTAGTCTACTGCAGGCATGTACAACTTGTTGAAGGGAAGGAGCCACTAATTGTAAATCCTTGTGGGCCTCAAAAAATGTACATTAATCAGCTGTTCCTTGCCTAATAGCAGAAGTGCTTAGAATGAGGGATTGTGGCTCCAAATTTGGTACTTTAAAAAAAAAAAAAATCAGGAATCGTACTGCTGCTTGATAGGTTGCATGATGGGCAAGTCTCTATAAGGTTTCCTTTTTGACATAATCTAGGCAACTTACTTAAGTAAAAATAAGTGCATGATTTGCGACAATAAGAAAGAAAAATAAGTGCTCTGCTTTGCTAATTACAGGGAAATGTATAGTAAATAAGTAAGCAAGATTAAATAACAGTTTGAAAAGAATTTTGGTACTAGGAAATATCACATTATGTGCTTATTTATATACTTTTTTTGTAACTAGAGTAGAAGTATATGTGATCAACACATTTGCTATCATTTTTGTTATAGTGTGTCCTATAACTATTTAAGGTAATATATACTCTAATTTTTCCCCTTATATTCTAAATGAGAATCCATTAATATTACCTAAATTAAATATGTTTTTGATAATGTTCAAAGTGTGTTGAACTTAGGGCCATTGTTTTATTACTTCTTTTAGTGATTTAAATTGAATGAATAATAAATTAATAATAAAGTTTTACCCAGAACCTAAAGGAAATTAAGGATGCACAAAGCCTCTCTATACAATCATGCTGTGTATATGGACCGTTAAAACTGACATTTATATATCTGTTTTTATGATTTTTTTTGTCCTATTTATTTACAGGACTTGAGGCAATTTAAAATCTAAATAGACATAACACTTCATGCTTTCAAAACAGGCCTGAATACTTTTAGCTTCACTATTGCTGAAATATGGTGAATAGCCAGCTTTTACTTTGCATGTATATCTCAAAAATAAGTAAACATGCTGCATTGCATATAAATTTTTTCTTTGGAAGAGAACAGTCTCTGTCCTTATTCAACTGTTTTGGCAATCAGCATATTTCCCTGCTTCATGGTGGCAACAAGCACATGAACTCTTAACAGTCTTGTCATTGTTTGATTTTAATAGTTTAGAAAATTCATCCCATAAATAATCAGTTGCACAACAGAGAGTCAGTAATGTAAAAAATAAAGACCAACAGTGTTCATTTTATCTTACACTGAAAAATCTGTTCAACTTTACGAATAACCTGGGTTTCCTCCCCCAATTTTTGAACAGTTCTTGGATATTTTTGATTGCTATTGGTGGGACTTCCCTGGTCAAATGTCACATAAACAAAAATGTATAATTGTCCAGGTTAAAAGTACATAAGTCAGTATTCAGGACATGTGTTTCTAGTTGCATTTAAATAAGCTCTAGAGTTTGTAGAATGTTTTTCTCAGTTGGCGTTTAATCACCTTATTTTAGATTTAAGCTCTTTAAAGAAATATTTTAAATATTGAATGTAAATTAATCAGTCCCAAACTTTTGGGAGGTAATTAAAGGACTATACAATTTGTCCATAAAAGGTAAGGTAAGGTAAGAATTCATTTAAGCTTTTATTATACAGTAGCTATTACCTAGTTTTGAATTGAATAATAAGTAATACTAAAACAATGCTGGTTACAAACTATTAAGCCCATCATGGCACAGGGTTAGATTATTTGTGTGAACATCTGTCTCTGATTATTTTTTTGCTTGTCTCAGAATATCCAACATGCTCCTTATATTAATAGTGCCATTTTAGGAAAATCAGGAAGCTAGACTTTCTTTGTTGCAGTGCCTTTTCCCTGGAACACCACACTCTCTGACATTTATATGGCCCCAGTCCTGTGGCCTTTTGCAGTATCTTGGAAATTTGGCTCAAGGATTGAGCCAGGAGTCAAGTCAGTTGGGCCATTTTGTAATGGTATAGAAGGTAACTGTTGGCCTTATATATTTTTCCTATGAGCTGTTCAGAGCATCCAGTAGTGGGAGGTGCTTCAATCTCTGCACGTCTAGGCTGGGCTTAATTTCTGGAACGCTCCTTCTCCACGGGACTCCTCCCCAGTGTTCCCCAGTTTTGGCTCAGCCTCGTGAGGGATAGGCAGTGCTTGTGATTCTTCCTTGGCTGAAACAGGAAAATTCATTTCTTTACTAGGGGGTTTGAAAATTGATCAGCTTGCCTTTAGCACTCTTTAGCCTTCTAACCGCATTACGATCTCTCGACATTGGCTCTTTAACATCAGGCAGTCGGAGATCGCTCACATTACAGGGAAGCGCTGATTCGCGCCCCAAAGCAGAGGGAGGCTTTGGCTCTGCTCCATGTCCCCTCCCCACAACTGCTCTTTCTACCCCTGCCATTCCGACAGATAGCCGCAGAGTTTCTTTCATCTGAACAGCGGCATGAGCTCTTTGCTCACAACAGAGTCATATCACTTTCATTCCCCTCTGTGAACGTCGCCTGGGGGTGGAAGATTCAAACGCTTAGTGCCTTCCACCCTTTCCTGCCGTTTAGCCTTATAGGAAGAGACCTCGGAGGCTACTCCTTCACACGGCGGGAGTTTGCTGCTGGGGAGTGCGCCAAAAGGTTAATGGCCGGAGGCCATTTTTTCTTACAAAGACCTCATGACCACACTGGCTGTATTTTAAGAACACTTGGGATCATTATATCCTCATCTTGTTTTTTTTTTTTCTACATTTGAGGCTATTCCTACATTTAAGTTGTTGGCTTAACCCTCACAGCCTAATCAACCCAGCGACACAACAGCGAGCACCTAGGCCTGTGTCCGCCTGTGCAGGGAAGCTGTTGAAGGCCTCTACCTTTATCAGTTTGGGCCTTTAGATGTTCTCAATTTGGCTGTTTGGTTTTTCAACATTTAGCCTCGTGCTATTTAGTTGATATATACATATAGCTATATATATTAGTGATTATATAACAATAATAATGATCATCATCATCTATTTGGTATAATATTTTAATATCAATAAAATATTACTGAGATACAACTCATTATAGATAGGTAATAAAAACATCATCAGGGCAACTAGTCTGTCCTTAGATCAGGCCCCTGGGGGTGCCAACCGCCTATTGCATTGAATAACAAGCATACTGTAATTCCTTAAATCGAAATGGCAGGCGGTAGCAGCTCTCAGACCTCATCCTTGAAGGTCAAAGCCAAATCTCAGCACAAACCTAAGCAGGCTAAAGGGAATTCTAAAGCTTCAGGAAGGGATGCCAACAAGCGCCATAAAGCATTAGAAAAGCAGATAGATAAGTGCACATGGGAGGCGCACAGGGTCTCACAGGACTTTCCCTCCTCCAGTCCAGGTCCGTCTACCTCTCCCCACCCTCATCCTCCCCTAGATCTCTCCCTCTCATCCAGGCGTAGCTTGGCTCCCCAAAGCCAACAGGCCCAGTTACCTGGAACACTGACCACGCGAAGGGCTCCTGAAGCTACATTCATTCCGATGGCTGCCGGTCTTCAACAGGACGACATTCTTCCAGAGGAAGTGCCAGAGAGGATGAAGGCCTGGATGGAGCTGGCAATCCGCCAGGGAATCGCAGCAGGTCTTCAACACACAGTTCTGACCAGGGAACATCCTGTAACCGCTGATTATGATTCCCAATCGCTGAGGTTGTTGACCAGGTCAGAGCAACACTACACCCAGGTACATTTACAAGGGGAAGTGCCCCTCCAAGGGCCGACAGAGGAGGAGTAGGAGGAGGAAGAAGTGGATCAAATTGATCAAATGGAACAGACTGAATCAGGATCAATACATGACAGCGAGCCCCTGTCAGAAGTGGACCCCTTAGAAAGTGGGATGTCTGAGGATGAGGGCCTTGTTCCTGATCAGCCTGTATTTACAGGCTTATTCTGCCCACAACTTTTCAGATCTCTCTTGTTTAAGCCAAAAAACATTGCGTGCCTGAACAAGTCGACCCCTTCTACCACTCCAGCTCCTTCAGAAGAGGGACCAGAAGATCTAATTTTCAACCAACCAGTATTCGAGGCAGAGGTGATCCTAGTTCCTCCCATGTTTTCGGACCTGGTACAGAAACAGTGGGCGTCTGCAGCATCGTACCCGGCCCCCACTGGATATGACAGGAAATATTTCAATTTGGCCCTTGATTTCTCAAAATTGTTGAGTACTCCCAAGGTAGATGAATCCATAGTGGGATTAGCGTCCTCCTTCATTCCCAGTGAAGCGCTGGAGGCATTAAAGCGGGACGAAAAACGGGCCGAGCTAGCCCTATGCAAGGCCCATCAGTCTGACACGTCGGCCATCAGAGCAGCCACGGTCGCCTCCTTTACCCATTCTCTCAGATGGCTCTGCCTCTTACAGGAACACACACCAAATTCCAACATTAGAGCGCACCAAGATATTGCTAAACTTATAGCAGCCGCTGAATTCTCAGCTGAC